TTTCACCATGTTCACTCGGTACGATAAATTCCGACGCCCACAACATTGTCGATGCTCAGAGGCATGTGGGGGGGCCTTACCGTATGGGAGTTAATGGTTCCCACAATACTGTAGGTAAAATGTCGGCGCCTATAACACTGTTCATGTTAGGGCGGTTGTAGAGTACTATTCCTGCAGGTGTACAGGGTACGGTCCCTGGTATCGTGGTTCGACTTGTGCGCCTTGCCTCGCTTTTCTCCGTTCATTCCCTGGTCCTTTCCGGGCGGGCGTCCCTGGTCGGTTGGTCCCAGTCGACGCTGGTTGCGCCAGTCGGAGAAGAGCAGTGAGCAGGGTCTTAGCATCCCCTAGTCAGAGACGTGGGGTCGGAGTCAGAAGTAGTGCTTTGGCCAGGCCTTCCGGTCGGAGAGGCCGTCCGGAGGCGGGCTGGAGACCGAAGCGAGCGCTCCGGTTGGAGAGAGGTGGGCCGGAGTCAGAAAAGCGGGTGTCGTTTCTCCTCGGCCAGGCCTTTCGGTCGGTGATTGGGTCACCCTTCTGGCCCGTCATTCTGATACTTGGTCCGGCCCATGAGTTACGCGTTGCCTGCTTGGGCCGAGCCTTCGTTGGGAAGCCGGTCCACGAGGGATCCCGGGTTTATGAACCCGACAGCAGGGCTGCTAGGAATTACTGCCTTGCTTCTTGTACCCATCGATGGGCTGTCAAGTGGCACCTTCGGAATGTCTACGGCTTTTTGTTTGGAAGGCCTAGCTTCTTCTTGATGGGTGTCCGCTTTCTTTTAACTTGAGCAGGTCGATCTTCACGTGAAGCAATAGAAAGTGCTTCGGGCTGATTTGACCCACTTCTTGACCTACAAATGTTATACATTGACAATGGTTTAGATAAGAGGAAAAAATTGGATTCATGTAACTGAAATTCAGAATTAGAAAACGTACAATTTTGAACGTCCAGAGTTGAAGTTGTTGCGGTTTTCCTTTTTCTTACTTGAAACCTCCATGCTGTGGCTGTCATGGTAGTCAAATATTGAAGTTTTCAAAGCAAGATGTGATGATAGAGAGATTTCAGTGATATATAAATTACCTTTTAGAGGCTTCATGTGTACAATCATCACTTTTTCTCTTTTTAGAAGATGATGTTTCCAAGTTTTGACTACGGTGACAAATTAGTTGGTACTTAAAATCCATATGAAGTGCGAAATAATGATGTGAGAAAGGAAAAAATATCAAACCTTAGGGGAAAAGACATGGATGCCGCTGGTGCATCTTCCTCTAATGGCACAATGGAACTTTGGGCTGATTTGGTGTTTCTTGCCCTCTTCTTTGGTTATCCCCTGAAATAAGAAGAATCAATAGCACGTACTTTACAAAGGAAAAACATAAATGATAGAGAAGACTAAACAAGTTATTATCTAATTGCTTTCATAGCTTCAATGTCTGCCGGTCTCCCTCTCTTGCAATTATGCCAATGATGTCCATAGTCCATACAAATAGGGCATTGGTGCTGTCCTTTTCTCTTTTTCTTATCACCGGTACCTTTGTGCCTTTCAGTTTTAGGCCTACCAGCAGCTGGTGTCAATAAAGATGGGTGCATGAAAAATTCATGGTTAGATTTAGGCCATTGAGACTTGTTTAGCATAGCAGGAATCAGCTGACTGTATGTAACTCTAAATTTCTCAACGAGTAGTAAAGTCAACATAATTCTCTATTGGTGCAACGCTAAGAGATGTGATGAATACTAGTGCATGCTTGTAAGGAATCCCAGAAACCTGCCATTGTCTGCAAGAACAAGTCCTCTCTTGTAGGTTAACAATAAACCTAAATCCACTTCCTCCCATTGCAAGAACAAGTCCTTAGGTTGGGTACCCACACCAAAATCCCACTCCATGACAGGCTCATATGGATCAGAATGACCTCGATATACAACAAACATGATGACAACCTTTCTCTTCGAATGTTTATCAAACATAGACATCAACTCTTGGTCGGTTTTTACTTCTAGGAAAGATTTTAGACCTTCATCGTAATACTGAATATGAGCTACTTCCAAATAACCAGACAGGTACTTCTCTACCACTGATTCAACAAGGTCCGCATAATTTATTTTGTCTGAATCAATAACCATGTCAAAGCAAAAATATTTCATATCTTGTCTACACTTTTTACGGTTGCCCAACAATTTAACTTTCAGCTTGAAACTGGAATTTGGATCCATGCTGTTATTCAAAATCAAAATAGGGTTTAGGGTTTCGGTACATCTGTAGCTACTTCTAGGAGCAGAAAAATTGGGGACTCACCCTTGTAGCCAGTCTTCTTGGTCGGAGTCGATGCCATCCTCCGTTTTCGCCCGCTTGCTGTAGGATGGGCCGGGCGCGACAGGCTGCTTGCGGGAGGGGTCGGGCGCGCGGGGCTGCTGCTCGCTGGAGGTGGCGGCCGCGCTGCTCGCTGGAGGAGACGCTGCTCGTTGGAGGGGCCGCGCCGAGCTGTTCGCTGGAGGGGCCACGCCAGGCTGCTAGCTGGACGACGGGACGCCGGGCTGGCCGCTGGGATGCCCGCTGGAGGAGGGGCCGCCGGGCTGGCCACGCCAGACCAGCCCCGGCCGCGCGCGCTGGACGAGGCGGGCGGCGGCGCCTCCCCGACGAGGAGGAACGACGGGAGTGGGGACGGGCGGATTCGGATCCGGATCCGGCGGATCCGGGGCTAGAGATCCCGGCCGAGGCACCTGACCGCGCGGCGGCGGCGCACTCCCCCATCCGTCTCGAGTCGCATGACTGGGCAGACACTCGATCTTCTTTTTTTTCCCGATACGCGGCGTCGGTCTAAGTCGCTCGACTCGGTGCGGCCCCTTCAGAAGCATAGAAGGGCAATTTCGTCTTTTCGCGTATCCACCAGTGGACAAGCTAACCGAGGCCATAGAAGGAATGAAAGTTTGTTTCAGGGGCCATAGAGATAAGTTAAAAAAAAAACCATACAAGAAAGAGCCATTTTTTTCAGGGCCATACAGGTAAAAAGCTTTTTTTTTAACGTGGATGACTTGTCTGCACGCCAAACAAAACTCCCTTGTAGAGGTTAATATAGGAGGCATTGTCGTTGTTGTGAGTGAATGCCGCTGCTAGAACAATCACAAGGCGAACTGATCCATTATGTCTCACGCCTGACGCCTAATGGGAATCACCCCTCACCTGTTATCCGCTCCAGCGCTCTTCCACTGCTGCACTTGGCTAATGTGGCATCTACATGTTAAAAAAATATTATAACATAAATAATCTCTCTTTTTTCTCATAAATCTTTTTTTGTTCAAATGGTATATTTTTATTGTGATAGAACAATTTTATCATGCCACAAAATTTTTATCTTTTAAGTAAACAATTTTTTAGCTGTGGAACAATTTTTCTATTATAGGTATAGCATTTTTTCCACGCAGGGTGGAACAATTTTATCCACCGGGAATAACTATTTGTTCTAATAGGAAAAAATATTTATAACGAAGTAAAGGATGTTTTAGCAGCAGTGATTAGAAAATATGGCTCGGGGTCTGGAGATGGTGATGGTGAAACAAATTTCTGGAAGGGTTTGTGGAATCTTGATTGCCTGCCGAAGGTGAAGCACTTTCTTTGGCGGCTAAGTCACAATACTTTAGCTGTGAGGAAAGTCTTACAGAGAAGGGGCATGAAGCTTGAAACAAGGTGTTATATGTGCGGTAGACTAAATGAGTATGGTGGCCGTGAACTTCTCAACTGTAAGGAGTCAATAAAGTTTGGCGGGAGCTAATCTTAGAACAGGCGAGAAAGCAGGCTAGCTGAAGCTCAGACGGCTAGAGAAATGATGGAGATAGTGCTGAAGATGAAGGGGAAAGAACAACTCACGGTTGTTATGGCTATGGTGGGGAGAGCGGAACAAGTGAAGAGAAGAAGGAAGGAGAAGAACTGCAGCCGAGCTGGCATATATCGTTGCGCTCCAGGCCGACTTAGCGCTGAAATCTGAAAGGCCGCTATTGTCGGATGTCCATCAGAAGGAGCGTTGGAAGAAATCGAGGACAGGGGAGCTCACGCTGGACACTGATGGTCCTTCAACAGCGCGATGAAAGATGGGGTGTGGGGTTTCATACTCCGCGATGATTAGGGGCACGCAGTGAGCTCAGGGACTGGGCGAGAAGAATACCTACTTGACGCTTTTCAAGCCGAACTGCTGGGCTGCCTTGCTAGCTTACAGGAGGTCGTCAAGTTGGGGATTACACGCATTACTCTTGAAGTAGATGCTGCTCTGCTGATGGACGCAATTCAGACGGATGACGGATGACTACAGATTGGCTCCTACTGGTGGAGTGATCACGGAGATCAAGCAACTCATCGGTGCCGAGTTCAGGTCTTGTACTGTTTCCGTTTGTAAACGTGATAACAATAGAGCTGTGCATGCTCTTGCTGCTTTTGGTTGTAATCTCCTAAGTGTCTGCTATAACACTCGGGAGGGTTCCTCGTGATTTCGAGGAATCGGTGACTAGCGATTTGGCTGGGTCGAGTAATAGAAGTTCCGAAAGTTATAAAAAGAGATGATGTTTTAGCATAAAAAAATGAATTTTGGAGATTGGCGACACACTTTCTACCCTTGATGATAGTATTATGCTACTAGTACATACGGAGCGACATTGCCGACGCGCGACAATCCGCATCGGCATTGACGGCATCCGCTCTCTCTGACACGCGACACACACACAGAGACCTCGGCTCGCGTTTCTCTCCCCGCGCCCCGCCCTCCTCGGACCTCGGCTCCTCCTCCCTCCCTCCGACCCCGACCTCTCACTCCCGCGACGAACTCGCCGCGCTCTTCTCCCTCCCCATCTTGACCGGTTCTGGCCGTCTTATCCATCTCTTCCGTTTCCATGCCCAGGCCAACGCCAAAAAAACCTGCAGCGCGCGACGCGACGCGAGCCGCGCGAGGAAGCACTCGCACGCAACGCAGAACGCACCCGCGCGCACCGGCTTGCCGATCGGCGGGGCGCGACCGATCGCCATGGAGCCGGACGACGAGGCGCTGAAGGCGGCGCGCGCCCCGCCGCAGCAGCGCCGCGGGATCTCCTACAGCCAGCCGCTGTCGCGGGACGCCGCGTCCGCGCGCCGCGCCGCGCTGCGCAACCACAGCCTCGACGACGAGCACATTCTGCCGGCCTCCCACTCCCTCAACTACCCGCTCCACCACGATCCCTCGGGTATGGCGCCCATGGGCTACCACCCCCCGCTCCCGCCCCACCAGCACCACCCCAGCGCGTCCTACTCCTCCAACACCCGACGCTCCGCCGGCGGCGTCAGCGAGGGCTCCATGACGCTCGAGCGCGCCATGTCAGAGTACGGCGGCGGCCAAGGCACCCTCCCGGAGTTTGTCGGCGCGGGGGGCGGCAAGGGCATCTTCCGTGTGCCGCTCCGCGCCGCCATGCACCCGGGCCGTCCGCCCCCGCTCGAGGTGCGGCCCCACCCGCTCCGCGAGACGCAGGCGGGCTCCTTCCTCCGATCGCTCGCCGCCGACCCAAAGCGCCGCCAGCTCTGGGCCGGGGCCGAGTCCGGGATCAGGGTGTGGTCGCTCGACGAGGTGTTCGCCGAGTGGGGCGCGGGCGCGCGCCGCGGCGACGAGGAGAGCGCGCCCTTCCGCGAGGGCATGCCCGCGCCGCCCGCGCTCTGCGTCGTCGTAGACAGGGCCAACCGCCTGCTGTGGACGGGGCATAAGGACGGGAGGATCCGATCGTGGCGCATGGACCTCGACGCGGCCGCTACGGCGCCTGCGCCCCCGGCCGCTGGTGCAGGCGGCGACGGCGGGAGCGTTGGGGGAAGTAGTCACGGCGGGGGAAGCAATAATGCGCCAGTGTTCAGGGAAGCCCTCACATGGCAGGCCTATGGCCGGACGCCCGTGCTCTCCATGGTCGTCACTTCGTATGGTGAGCATGCCATTTACGACCGTCATTGCAATGCCAATGCATTTATGTTGCCACAAACTCACAATTGCGTTATATATCTGCACATTGATATCACTGCATGTGAATTACTACAAATTTAAAATTTCTGACCATACATACTATGGGTCGTTGAATCTAATAACAGGTGAGATATGGTCGGGTTCCGAGGGTGGAATCATAAAGGCATGGCCTTACGATGCCATTGCCAAGTCCCTGTCATTGTCACCAGAAGAGAGACATATGGCTGCTTTGTTGGTTGAGAGAGCCTACATCGACCTGAGGAACCATTGCACAGTTGGTAACGTTTGCTCGTTGCCCGCTTCTGATGTTAAGTACATGCTTGCGGATCATTCACGGGCGAAAGTTTGGACCGTGACTAGCATGACATTTGCTCTCTGGTATGCCTTCACATACACAGATGAAATTTGTTCTTTTTTCTTCTTCTTCTTTTTTGAAAGATCCGGAACAGATGAAATGTGTTAGTTAGATTACTGTTCTCCCCAGCACATAGTACGTACTTTAACATGCCAATTCTTCTGAACTACTTGCTACAGGGATGCTCGTACAAGGGAGTTGCTGAAAGTATTTGGGATGGATGGCCAAGTTGAGTCAGCAAAGCTAGAGACACCTGTCATGCCAGAGCAACCTATGGAGGAAGAGATCAATCCTAATCCTAAAGCAAAACCTTCGAAGAAGGACAAGTCACAAGGTTCTTTGAACTTCTTCCAAAAATCTAGGAATGCTTTAATAGGAGCAGCCGATGCGGTGCGCAGGGTTGCAACAAAGGGGACATTTGTCGAAGATAACCGCAGAACAGGAGCGGTGGCTCAAGTAATGGATGGATCAATCTGGTCAGGATGCACGAATGGCGCCATTATTCAGTGGGATGGAAATGGGAACAGAGTGCTAGAATTCCAGCATCATACTTCTTCTGTGCAGTGCATAAAGGCACTTGGAGAAAGGGTGTGGGTGGGATATGCCAGTGGCCTGATTCAAGTCATGGATGCTGAAGGTAACATTATTGCAGGATGGACTGGGCATAGCTGTCCAGTTATAAGGATGGCAATTGGTTGTTCTTACATTTACACACTGGCACATCATGGTGGTATTCGGGGATGGCCACTAACTTCTCCTGGACCCCTTGACGATATTATCCGAACTGAATTGTCTAACAAAGAGTTGTCATACACTAGAATGGAGAAGATAAACATAATGGTAGGGAGTTGGAATGTAGCACAAGGGAAAGCATCTGCTGAGTCACTAAGATCATGGTTGGGTAGTGTAGCATCTGATGTTGGGTTGGTTGTTGTTGGATTACAAGAGGTTGAGATGGGCGCAGGGTTTCTCGCCATTTCTGCTGCAAAAGAAACAGTATGATACTTGCCTTACCGTCTGGTGTTCTTTTTTTTTTTTGGTTCAATTCAGTTAGTTGTGCGTTTCTAGCTTGCTACTTAACGTAGATATAACTATTCGCTATGTTGTTCCATCTTAATTTTCCTAGTAACCATAATTTGTTACAGATCAATACTGAAACATATTTTTCACCTCGGTGTTTCCTGTAATTTAACTGCACTTTAGATACTTTCTGTTGCGTTTTCAAATTTAATAATTGTTGAGGTAGATGTGACTAGCATTTATTTCTGTTTTTGATGAAATAGCTGCCGGGTTATTGAATAGACGCATAAGAATTGTTTTTACAGGAATTAACAGATTTGATCCTCTTTGACCTTTGTGTTGTAATTCACCAATTAGTAGTGTTACATTGGCTTGTCATTGCAGTGCTACCAGTTAAGTTCTCTGAATCACCATTTGACTGAACGTTTCTTTTCATGGTTTCAGGTAGGGCTTGAGGGCAGTGCGAATGGTCAATGGTGGATAGACAATATTGGCAAAGCGCTTGACGAGGGAACATCATTCCACCGAGTTGGTTCTAGGCAGTTGGCTGCATTGCTTATTGCTGCATGGTATTAGCTTATTGTGAATTAGTTTCTTAGAATTAAACTACAAATCTGCTATCACATAGTGATAAGTTGTTCAATTAACTGTTTGTTTAATTACCTTTCTCATGTGATATACATGACATGGAAAAATTAACTTTTCAAGGGCAAGAAAGAGCCTTAAACCATATGTTGGAGATGTTGAAGCTGCTGCAGTGCCGTGTGGTCTTGGACGTGCTATTGGCAATAAGGTACATGATAAAATAGTTGTACATGCTTTCATCACCCCACCCCCACCCCCCAATTGAAATTTCATTTTGTAATGGTATGATCTTATCTCCTTTTGGGGATATCTGTATGTCTTATGTTGGAAGAAATTTTAAAGATGATTACATAAGCAAGGTTTACGGAAAGAGAATTCTCATGTACTGTTTAATTCTATGTTTTATGTTCTGTTTCATGTTCAAGTCATGCTCCTCCGTTCTTTTGTTTGTGCGGTGACAATTAATTCTCCTGCAGGGTGGCGTAGGATTGAGAATAAGGGTATATGATCGTAAAATGTGTTTTGTGAGTAATCACTTTGCTGCACATCTGGAAGCTGTGAGCAGACGCAATGCTGACTTTGACCACATTTATCGGACAATGGCTTTCAACAAACCTCATGGATCCACAGGTTCATGTTTCACATTTTTTGAAGTGCCTGTTTTTCTTGGCAGCAAACTATAGGTGTTACAAATACTGTTTTCATACTGAAAAATGTTTACATAACCCTTATTTTTCTGTGATGCAGCTTCTGCTACATCTGTCCAATTGCACAGAACAGTGAATGTATGTGTGGATCTAACCTTGAAATTATCAGTAGAAACTATCAAATTATTACTGATGTCCAAATGTTGTGGTGATGCCAGGTCAATGGAAATCAGGTTGAAGAAGTAAGGCCTGACCTAGCAGAAGCTGATATGATTGTATTTCTTGGTGATTTCAACTACCGCCTTTATGGTATCACATATGATGAAGCGAGGGACATGGTTTCACAAAGAAGCTTCGATTGGCTAAGAGAGAAGGATCAGCTTCGTGCAGAAATGAAAGCTGGAAAGGTATTCCAAGGAATGCGTGAAGGAATAATCAAATTTCCTCCAACATACAAATTTCAAAAGCACCAACCTGGTCTTGGAGGTATGTATATGTTGCTGCTTAAAACATTTTGATCTCTTCTCTCTGTTCAACTAGTTATGTAGTTTTTCCCTGACTAACGTAGTAAGTTTTGTTTCTTGCTTTGCATCACAGTGCTGAAAACTGTTTGTCAACTGCCATGTAGGTTATGATTCAGGCGAGAAGAAGCGGATACCTGCTTGGTGCGATAGGGTACTATATCGTGATAGCCGTTCTGTATCAGTAGCTGAATGCTCATTAGAGTGCCCTGTAGTTGCTTCAATCACATCGTGAGATACTATTACACTTCCTTTTCCCCCTTTCAGATGATCGGTAATCCCTTTTATCCATACTGATTGATTTTCTTTTGATAGGTACGTGGCATGCATGGATGTCACAGAGAGTGATCATAAACCTGTGAGGTGTACATTCAGCGTTGATATTGCTAGAGTTGATGAGTTAATAAGAAGGCAAGAGTATGGAGAAATAATTGAATCGAATGAAAAAGTACGCTCTTTGTTCCAAGATGCTTGTTTTGTTCCAGACACTACAGTTAGCATAAACGAAATCATACTGGAGAATCAAGAGAATGTTATATTCCAAATTACGAATAAATGTGAAACAAGCAAAGCAGCTTTCGAAATCCTATGTGACGGCCAGTCAACCAAGAAGGAGGACGGAACTAAATCAGAGCTTCTTCCAAGGGCATCCTTTGGCTTCCCACTTTGGCTCGAGGTAAGAACTATTGCAAACTCTTGTTTTAACTTCTAGTATAGATCATGCAATGTAACACCTACAGCCTATGATACATTCATGATTAATCAATTGCCGCCAAGTGAAGATATTGATACAAATCAATTTCCCTCCATATGTACCGATATGGTCAAAATATTACTACAACTAGCTGGAGGCCCCGTGCTTCGCACGGTTTTTTTTTTAATTTTCAGGTGTCGGTGTACAGTCCCGTATCGGGCATACACTGTTCCGTATCGGGTTTGCTCTGTTCCTCATCGGGTTGGTACTGTTTACTTACCGGGTTGGTACTGTTCATCACGTCCGATACCCGGCGCTGTTGATCTACAGTGATCTGAGCCTTGTATCGAGCCGGACGAGCAGTGATCTACAGTGATCCGAGTCTGGTGGCGAGCCGGATGAGCAGTAAAACGATGTGGCATGCCTCAAACCAAAGTTCTTATATAGATGCCCAAGTGACTGAATATGACACCGAACTACTGAAGTACCTCTCTGATGGCAGGAAACAATTAATCTGCTGCCTGTCATTTCTGCATTCAAAATTTGTGTTCTGATTTCTATTTTTTCTGTCTCACACAGGTCCAACCAGCCGTCGGTCTGATAAAACCAGGTGAAACGGTGGAAATTACACTACATCATGAAGATTTTTACACACAGGAAGAGTTTGTAGACGGAATACCGCAGAACTGGTGGTGCGAAGACACCAGGGACAAGGAAGCCGTTATCAGAATAAATATAACAGGCAGCAGCTCAACGGAAACCAAGACGCACACCATCAACGTCCAACATCGCTGCCCACCATCATCGGCGCCACCACCGATGATGAACCAACCGGTGGCCGCCGCGCCTCCGAGCAATGTTCTTGCCAGTGAGGGGCACTCAAAGCGCTCCTCCAAGAAATGCCAGTCCAAGCACCGGGAACAGCAACAACAGCAGCAGGATTATCCGCAGTTTGGGAGCTCGGAGGTACATGACCTGTGCCGCATGCGGTGCCCTTGAGACCTGTACAAACTACTCCTACATTACTACAAAGGAGTATGGATACTGAAGTTCTGTCTAGGAGGTGGGAATTACGAGTCTTAGGTTTCTCACATCGAAGTACCGGAGTACCCCGCAAAAGAGAGAGAGAAATCTGGGAGGAGTTACTCCGGTTCTGTACATAGGCTTCACTGGATCAGCTGTCCTGAGATAACAGTGCTAATAACTTGTTTTATTCTTGTTCCTTATTAAAGAGTCTTCTCTAGATAGTAGAAGCCAGGGATATTTGAACAATGCTTGATGTAATATGTTCCATAGAATTACCTTAGGTTTGTTCTCTCTTCACGCAGCAGTTCTAATGATCTTGTACTTCAGACTATTGGCATTGTTAATAAGAAACCAATCCTTCACCCCCTTGAATGATTTGATAATGCTTATGCTATTACCTGTCTATCAGAATCTTTGGCTTTGGAATGGCTCCGATTGCTTAATGCTAGTGAGTGGTACATGTCATCCGTCTCGTGCAAGGCATGTATGGATTTTTGATGATTTGGGGGAGGGGGGGGGGGAAGGTGCATTGACACAACCAACTGAAGTAGAGTCAGTTAACATGCAACCGCAGCATTCCTTTTTTGACATACAAATTGATGTCCCTTGACCGGTGCCGCTAGCTTCAGTATCCACTTCTTAAGAACAAATTGATGTTCTCTCGCCAAACGGAGAGCGCTCGAGTGCTGGAACACTCGATTCTTCTCTTCCTCTCCATCTGCGGTCTCTCCCTCTCTTCTCCTCTCCGGCGGGGTTAGAAGAGATTTTTTGGGGGGCAGGCAGTGCCGGTTCTAGGATTTTAAGGGCCCTCTGGCGATCTCGTCGCAACGACTTCTCTTGACCATATATAAAATCTTATAATATATAGGTACTAATTTTATTTGTAAAACGAAAGCAAATTCAATAACATATTTTTAATTTAACATGTCTGATAATTATCGAGGAACAATGTAGATTAAGCGATAATTTGTAGATGTATGATAATTATCGAGGAACAATATAGATTAAAAAAGCAATATATTCGTTTTCTTTTCTCACCCATGACAAATGTTTCTTAGGTAATATTCTAAAATTCTAACACCTAAATTAGAAGAAAAATATGACTATATGGGTACAAAGTACTAGAAGTCTGTAATACTATACAAATAATTAATTTAGATTAAAAATAAAAAAGAAAAAATGCCTTGGCCTAAACAATTGATCGATGATCGTAATTCGTAAGAAGCCAAGAATCAAGATGTCGTCGTCATGGAGCCCTGCCTGGTCGCCATCCTCGTGCGCCGTGTCCGTGTTTCCGGTAGTCTAGCTCTTCGCAGCGGCGTGGCTCGCCAGCTCCGCGTGTGTAAGACGCATGTCGCGAACTCACGATCGAAGTATGCTATGTGCAGCGTGACTCCTCACCTCCTCTCTACCCGAGGGCCGTGAGAAAAGGAAACTAGGAAATAAATGTTGATGTTGTCTTTTTAGACCGCCTGACCAGTTCTATGTCTCTCTTCTCATTAGTTTGTTAATGCCTAATGAACTATAGGATCTGTGAGTTTGTATACCTGGGCTTGGGCCCCTCCTCCGCTTGGGCCCTCGGCCGTCGCACCTCCTAGCCTACCCTTAGGGCCGGCACTAGGGAGAGGAGGTGGCCGGGCAGGTTAGGACAGGGCGACCATGGCCATGACGGCACGGGGAGGGGGGAAGGAGTAGGTCGCCATGGCCGCAGACCCCACCGCGCCGTGGCGGGGCGGTGGGCGGCGACGGCGCGTCGGGAGGAGGAAGAATGTGTGAAGAAAAAAAATCGAGTACTCGGCCCCGAAAACAAAAACACGAGGGTTAAATAGACAGATGCAAATAAAAGGCAGCCAAATTTCAAGCGACCTTTATGAAACTCACCCCTAATTCTGTCAAGTAACAGCGGAGCCAGAAGCCCTGATTGATGAATGGATCTCAAAAAAAGCGCACGCAGCGCCGAACGGGCACGGACCTTGCCTTAAGAGGCTTTTACATGTATGCCATTAAAAAAGTTTATAATTATACACAAGCCATTAAAAAAATTGACCGCACACGAGTGCCATCGTTCTGAACTTCTTTGCTCTCCAAGCCATTCCGTCGGTGTTCTGTTCGTTTTTCACCGTTACATGTGGGCCCGGTCAGTATAAAGGTCCAAAATACCCCTCTCATCCATATTCTCTCTCTCTCAAACTCTCTCTCTTCTCGCGCAAGATGGCGGCAGCGAAGCGAAGAAGGCGGCTACCGGGTGGGGGCGGCATGGCATGGCCTTGCTTGCATGGCGGCGGTGGAAGCTGCACGGCGGGCGCAAGCACGGAGTTGGAGCGGCGCGGTGAGGAGGGAGAGGGGGGCGCCGGTGCTTCATGCGGGTGTCAGCAGCAGGGCGACCCGGTGGGCGCGGCCTTGGCGGGGTGGAGCAGCGTGGTTCCACGCATTACGGGCGCGCTCACGCACAGGTCGGGCGACGGTGGGCGGGAGGCAGCGCGGGGAGCGAGGTGGAGACGTGCGCAGGCGCCGTGGAGCTGCGGCGTGCGGAGGAGGTGCCGGGAGGGGTCGTGGGCTTGCGCGCTCTTGCGGTGTGCCATGGCGGCGCAGGGCATCGGCGACAGAGCATGGGCGCCTCGGGGTGGTGGCTGCGGCACGGCGGTACGGCTAAGCAAGCCGAGGGGAGAGAGAGCAGCGCCGGCGAAAAAGGAAGGCGAGGAGCCAGATGGCTCGGGCACGCCGCTGACGCACGCGATGCCGGTAGCAAGCGTCGGCGGCGGTGGCCATGGCGGGCGCCGCATTTGTCGCGGCACGGAGGCGCGCGCTGCGACTCGCCCGGCGCGAGCGGAGCGGCGGAGAAGCCGGGCGGGCATGCCCACGGCCATGAAAGCACGAAAGGCCGATGGAGGGATGGCGGCCGTGAGCTCGAGCGCGAGCTCAAGCGCGAGGGGGAGCCGGGCGTGGACGAGGACGCCGCTGCCGGAGGGGATGGCGGCCGCAAGCGCGAACGCGAGGCCGGGCGTGGACGACGCTGCCGCTGCCGGAGGGGATAGGCGGCCGCGAGCGCGAGCGCGAGGCCGGGCGTGGACGCCGCCGTCGCTGACGGAGTGGATGGCGGCCGCGAGCTCCGCCAAGCGGGGCTCTTCCGGCGGCAAGCGCGAGCGTGAGCTCCGCTGGCCTCGGACGCGTGAGCGCGAGCGGTGTGGACTAAAGAAGCAATGATAGGACGAGAGAAGGGTATTTTGGACTTTTATACTGACCGAACCCACATGTAACGGTGAAAAACAAACAGAACACCGACGGAATGGCTTGAAAAGCAAAGACGTTCAGAACGATGGCACTCGTGTGCGCTTAATTTTTTTAATGGGTTATGTTTACAATTTTTTTTTATGGCATACATGTAGAAGCGTCTTGCCTTAAACCCCTCTTCTCTTTGGGTTTCCTCCCATTCGTTCCCCCGCCAGTCCGCCGGTCCCCATGGCGCCCAAGGTTCTCATGGTAAGCCACCATTTTCCCTGTCCCAGGCGCCGACTAGGCCACCGCGGTGCTGCGCGGCCGTTAATGGCGACTGCGCTGACCCCACTCTCAACACCTTCTTACTGCTGGTTCCTACCGCTGCAGGTCGCAGAGAAGCCCAGCATCGCGCTCTCCATCGCCTGCGCCCTCTCCGGCGGCCGCGTAAGTTCTCCCGCTGCGCCCTCCGCCACCGAATCCGTGCTGATTTTTTGTTTTTGGTGTCAAATTTGGGCGAGACGTTAACTCCGATTCATTGGGTCGTGTCGAAGGAGCTAGCCCTAACGGCTGGCGCACCGATTAGTGCTGACTCTTCTGACGTGTTGTTAGTTTGATGGGTCGCTGCCTAGTTTTTTCCCTGGGAGCAGTGGCGGAGCTAGAATCAAAATGTGAGAGGATCCATCCAATTCAACGAAGGTTTTTGTTCCAATTTAACATGTACACAAGTGCCAGATAATAAGTGCTTTTGTTCCAATTCAAGTATTCAATTAAGGGGCTAAGAAATGGATCATCTCTTTTCGTTTTGAAAGATTCATAAGTAGGTTTCTCTATACTAAAAAGGTACAGGCTAGTCATTATCTGTAATACTAGAAAATCATATGAACTTTTTTTTTTTGGGGGGGGGGGAAGTTGCAAGAGGGAAATTGTCCCAATAGTCAGTAAGTTAGTAACGGTTTACAATGCAAGCATGCAGCGCTTGAGGTTCGGAAGCAAGGAATAGAAAAGGCAAATAAACATCCTGCTGGTGCCTACTTGCACTTGCCGGCTTTCCATTGCTGATGAGCTGTGACGGATGACTAGGAAACCCTTGCAGCTTGAGCAGCGCGGGGGCGCGACACTACAGAAGTACGGATTGGGGATTGTAGAGTGCAGCAGCTGGCGAGAGTGGAGCCGGAGTGAAGCGAGTGTGGAGCGGGAGGCTGGTGCCGGTGACATGCACATGCCGGCCAGCCGGTAGGTGAGGTAGCTGCTGGCCGTGGTAGTGCAGTAGGTGCCTGGGTGGTTCTCTTCCCCCAATTGAAAGGCAAAAAACTAGAACAATTGTCGATGTTAAATGTGCTATTGGGCTGACATGCAGTAGACTCACTGAAAATTGTTTCGGGCCATGGCCTAGTTTGCCGACATATAGCTCCGCCAGTGCATGTGAGCTTGAGCTGTGTACTTGGCGACAGCAAACCTGTGATGTCTCATTGTCTCTGTTGATGTACCTATTAGCTTAATGGAAGGGTCAGGGGTTGTGGTAGGTGGCTGAGTACTGATTGATTTCATTGTAATGGTAATTGGATTTTCCCAGTGCCATCTGACAGGGTAAATTAATTTTCCCTGTTTCACCTGATGACCAATGCTTAAGCTCAGTAGCCCTGGTAGTTCTAGAAGAGCCATGCTTAACCTCTGTCCCCTTTAAAAGTGTCTGCACATTTTCAGTTGCTGTTCCAACACTGCTGTCTGCTGATATGGGCCAGACATTTTTTCCCCTTTTGAAAAGAACAGTAGGGGAGGCCCCAACTGAAATAATATTAATATTGGAACGGTCCAGACTCCAGAATGCAAGTGTTTGACTTGAGAGTTCACTCACATTGTATCCTTTTTTTCCCAACATTCATGCAGATGTCTACAAGGAAGGGAAGCACAGATGTCCATGAGTTTGACGGAACATTTCAGGGTTCTTATGCAAACTTCAAAGTGACATCAGTCATTGGACATGTCTTAAGGTTCTGCTTTATTCTTCAGTTGTTTTAAGAGTTTTTGTTACAGCTAGATCATTTGAAGTCTGCATATAGGAATTATTTTACATACACATTTCTGTATATCAGTGTTGAATGTTGATATGTACAACAGACATGGTGGGCCAATGCATAGTTGAAGTGTTTATACTGAAACCTACTAGTTATTACTTATTAAACTTTAGCAGGATTTGCATACAGATGTTCAGATGCTTGCAGTTTCTGAACATAAAGATATTTTTGTGTTTTGTTAATCTCCGTCTGATCTTTACCAGTGTAGATTTCCCCCCTGCATATCAGAACTGGGAAGGAACTGATCCAATGGACCTATTTGAGGCTCCAGTTCTGAGATCTGAATGCAACCCAAAGGTAATGTGTTTATTTACAACTCTAATTGAAACAGAATGCAACTTAGTTAACTGTTAGAAGGTCAACTCAGATTGTAAGAGAATATAACTCAGTTGATTGTTGGTGTAACTGAATAAAGTGAAGCAGTAATAAGTTCTATTAGGGGCTGTTTGGATCCCTTCATTTTGAAGGAATTGAAATCTACTTAATGGATTAGGCTATTTGGCTTGGAATTTGACATTCCATAACTTTCCCAAGCTCACAATTAAGTCTATCTCAAATTCATAGGGTGGGAGATGTAAATGGATTCTATAGATCACTATGCTATATTTTTTTTTCTCGAACACGCAGGAGAGCTGCGTATCATTATATATTAAGAAGAAGAAAAGGGGTGTAAAACCCCATAACCCAAAAACAACAACACCGCACACACCGCACCTCACTCAAAAAACCACTGCTCGCACTATGCTATAATTTTACTCTCCAACTTATAGCACACTCTTCAACTCACTTCCCTACAATAGAAATGCAACATATAAGTATGTCCCTTGTATGCCTAACAATAAATATACAAATATATTCTATATACAACTATATTAGCTCAATTGATCTATGTCTAAATTGTAATTATTAGAATGAATTCAATTCCAAGGATCCAAACGGGCCCTTATTTAAATCTACTCCACCCATGGATGGTTGATCAACTATGCAGTTTCTCTGATACTTGAACTTATGTCCTTTGCCCCCTTCATTTAATTGACTCTAGGTGGAATCTGAATCAACAAATGTCCTGGTTATTGTTTCCTCCAACTTTTGGCAGGCTCTTAGTTACACCTGCAGAACCTGCAAAATTACTGAATCCCAATGGTAGTGTTTGTCTGATGTTATGTTTATCTGTATCTTTGTTATGTGTTCCACTGTTCCAGCTTTTTTAACATGTGTGTTTTCCCTTTTTCCGATAAGGATCATAATGTCCCATGGTTAAATACAACACTGATGTGTAGCTCTGTTAAAGGCTCATATACGCAGGCATCTAGCTCAAGAAGCTCAAGGCTGCACTTATTTGATACTTTGGCTGGACTGTGACCGAGAAGGAGAAAATATATGCTATGAAGGTACATTAAACCTGTTCTGTAACAATTATGCATACTAAATCTAGTTGGTACTAAAATATAGAGAGCTATATGTAGACGTTTCCATTTCCCAACCTGGACCCTGAAAAGCAAAAACAGAGGTCTATAATCAAAATAAGTTAGACATCATATGGGAAGTTCTCTTCTATATTGTGTAAACAATTAGATCAATTGAATTTCTTTACATTCTGGAAGCTATACAGATTTTATTTCTTCGTCCACGCAGTACATGGATACTTCTGCAAAAGATCATTTGTAGTTATTTTTATACTTGAGAATTGCTTAGGTCCTGATTGATGCAATTTATACATGAGCTTTCTTTGCTTGGTTCTACATATATGTATGGCTTACTCTGTTCTACCTCCAGATATTTATGGCTTGATCAATCCAATTCTAATAACAATGCCAAACATATGTTCCAGTTATTGAGTGCACTGGGATTCCTGAAAATGAGGCTGGCAGAAGAATTTTCCGTGCTAGATTTTCATCTGTTACTGAGAAAGACATATTGACCGCCATGGATAATCTTGTTCTGCCAAACAAAGATGAAGCGCTATCAGTGGATGCCCGGCAAGAAATTGACTTGAAGGTTGGAGTAGCATTTACTCGATTTCAGACTCGATATTTCCAAGGAAAATTTGGAAACCTTGATTCAAGAGTGATTTCGTAAGTTCCCCATTTCTTTTCACGATTCAAATTTCTTTAACCAATCGCATGTTAAAGACGTGCTATCATGTATCTACAATCTTCAAATACTTTTTGTCTGTGAACCTTTTTATTCTTTATTCAAATCATTATAACAATATCGTTTACATTTGCTCTGGCTCTGTCTTTTGATAATATTTTTCAGAACTGATTTAAGTTTGGTTTTGCTTTGTAAATCAGGTATGGTCCATGCCAAACACCTACACTTGGATTCTGTGTACAACGCTATCAGCAAATCACCACATTCAAACCAGAGAAATTCTGGTCCTTGAAAACATATATTATCAAAGATAATGATGAAATACAGCTAGAATGGGACTGGAAGAAACTTTTTGATTTTGATGTAAGGTCATGTACCCAAGTGATTTAGCTTTATTCTTCCAAATGTTCTTACCATTTTCCTTAATTAAAAATACAGGTTACTGTAATGTTCCAGAAGATGGTCATCAGTGATGGGACTCTAAAAGTAGCAGATGTATCAGTGAAGGAGGAGTGCAAAACCCGTCCATCTGGCCTTAATACAGTTAATATGCTTAAGGTAGCACAGCTCTTACCTCTTAGAGTGACCATATGTTTTCCTTGGCTCTCCTTATTAATTTTGCCTTGTTATCTACAAATCTCACTTTGTTCTTGCCTGGGAGTGTAGTCTTTGTTCAGTTTCATTTGAAACATGGTGTTTTCTTACACTGTTCTACTGGTGTGTACTGTTATCATATGTTGTGTCATGATGATCTTGATTGAAATCTGATACCCAAGATGCTCCTGTTGGGTTATGACTTGATGGTATTAATAGGACAAAGGGCATCCATTTCCTTATGTAAGAGTAGAGTAAATTTTGTTTACTTAATATTCTTCTCATCTCAGGTTGCATCAAGTGCGCTTGGTATTGGACCTCAGACAGCCATGCACTTGGCAGAGCGGCTTTACACTCAAGGATTCATCAGGTTTCAGAAATGAACCTTGAAACAGTGCTATATTTTGCTTTGAATCTTGTCTTATGTTATGTGGGAAATGTTAGTCTACCAGAAACCTTATTGAAGTCAGTGTGGGCTTATCTGCAGTATGAAATGATGCATGACATTTCCTTATTTTCTAGTATCTTTTTTATCATATGAATAGTACTAATTGACAAAAATCTGTAATAGAGGTTGTTAGTTTTGTTTGTTCAACTAGACGCACTATGTGTTCCTAAGAGCTTTAGCAGATCCCCTGTATGATTTTTTAGAGGTTAGAACTGATGTAGACTTTGACCCAACTGAGGCCTTGGTCACTAGTTATGAGTTAATTTGTCATTTCACAAATTCTCGCTATAGTAAATTTGTGTTTTTCTTAAGTACTACTTTACCTGTTCTTGCCATACCCCCTATGATGCCAAGTTATTCATGTAGACCTTATCGTTTTTAAGGTATCATTTATGGTTGAGCCTTGCATTACACCCAGTAATGTCATCTTAAGTACACATGATAATGACTCTAGTTTAAGCTCAAAATTTTGTAACCAAACTATAATGTTATCACTGTTAGATTTAATTTTGGTAAACAGAATTTTTTTACCCTGCAGTTGAAAACTCCTTAGATTTTTTTTGAGCAGACAAAGATTTTTGAACATTATCTTTGCACAGTTATCCTCGTACAGAGAGCACTGCATATCCATCATCATTTGATTTTCGAGGTGCACTTGCTGCACTATTAAATAATCCTCTATGGTCCAATGATGTCCGGACATTACTGGATGCTGGTTTTGTTAAGCCTCGTCAAGGTCATGATGCTGGGGACCATCCTCCAATCACTCCAATGAGGTCAGCAACAGAAGCAGCTTTAGGAACTGATGCTTGGAGGCTGTACCAATACATATGCCAGCACTTCATTGGAACTGTTAGTCCTGATTGTAGATATACAAGGTAGTTTGTCCCTTTATTATTTCATAGCTACATAAATCATTTTTGTCTTTGTTCTGTCACAGTTCACAAGCTTCTTATAAAGTATAAACTATAAGTATGTTAGTTATTGATATTTCCTTGTACTATGCCCTTATCTAGATATCTAATGTTTTTCTATTATTTGAAATGCAACCATGTCATGGAATTCAATGTTTTTTGCATTGTTGTTTTTTCATTAAATTTAATAGTTGCTCATAAAGGAATCCATCAGTAAATACCCCTTTCTAAAATAACACGATTCTCAGGACTGCCATTGAGTTCACTTCAGGTGGAGAAACTTTCCACTGTGTTGGGTATCGAGTCACTTCTAAAGGATTTACCTCTATCATGCCATGGCTAGCTGTCAGTGAGAATAGTCTTCCTGCATTTAAAAAGGGAGACTCTGTTAGTATTCATAAGGTTGACATATATGAGGTAAGGCGATCAGTTTGCTCAAACAACATGCACTTGCCTTTTATCAGGATATGATGTTGATCAATCATAATTGTTTGTTGAAGGGAAGCACTACACCACCTGATTACCTCAGTGAAAGTGAATTGATCTCTCTCATGGAGAAGAATGGCATAGGTACAGATGCATCAATTCCTGTACATATAAACAACATTTGTGAACGTAATTATGTTCAGGTTAGTTGTTTTCTACGAAACCTTCAGAGCATCATATGCTGTGAATCTTTTACATGCAAGTCTACGCTTAAGTATGTAAATGTACCAAAAACCTGAATACATCTACTTATCTTTCTCGAAGGTGAATTCTGGAAGAAGGTTAGTACCGACACCCCTGGGAATTACGTTGATAAGAGGGTATCAGTGTATTGATGCTGATCTCTGCTTGCCAGATATCAGAAGCTTTATTGAGCAACAGATTACTCTAATTGCAAAAGGCAAAGCTGATCATCTTCGAGTTATTCAACATGTTATTCAGCAATTTATGAAAAAGTACTCTTACTTTGTGAAAAAGGTAACATATTTTTGATAATCTATGAGACTGTGTTGCTGTCTTCCATGGTATTTGGGGAAGTTTATATTGATGATCTTTTGCGATGCTTTAGCTTCATTTGAAGCTGTAGCAAGAATGAATCCTCCAAAATTGTCAAGCACTTTACATTTGCAGATATCTTTATTCTTCCAGTTTTAAAGCATGTTTAAGATTTCCTGTTCTTAACAACCGAATTCATTGATACAAGACATCAGTTGTGTACTGCTATAATGCTATTTCAGCTTGTTTAGAATGAATGTGCTTCTTGCAGATTGAAAACATGGATGCGCTGTTCGAGGCACAGTTTTCACCTTTGGCAGATTCTGGGCGCCTACTAAGCAAGTGTGGAAAATGTGGTCGGTATATGAAGTACATTTCCACTCAGCCAATGAAGTTGTACTGTATAACTTGTGAGGATGTCTATTATCTTCCTCAGAATGGTTCAATTAAGGTAATTACTTTAATATCATATATTGGAAATTTACCTTTATTTTATTTTTTCTTGAATCAGTTGCTTTACTTCCATGTATGGTTCGTGAGAATTGAACCAGTAGGCCACGTATTGAAATTAAGCAATATTTTTTTGCCACAATTTCCTTTTAGGGGGGGTCTTGATCCCATACTTGTGATTTTAGTTTTTTCATAATTGTGATAACTTGCTCTGTGTTCCATTTCTTTGCCCTAATTTTGTGTTCATCATTTTGTTTCATGCTAGGTTGTATTCTAAAACCATGTATGCTGTTATTCTTTGTGCTTTATTGTGGCAAGCTCAGTTTATGCCTACTCTGTGATTAATAATTCTATTTTTTCGCAGCTTTACAAGGAAATCATATGCCCTCTTGATGGTTTTGAGTTGCTTCTGTTCTCGATGGTGGGACCTGATGCAAAATCTTTCCCATTGTGCCCTTTTTGCTATAATTGTCCTCCATTTGAAGGCATCGACAAACTCTTTGGTGCTCTCAAGCTCGATGACACCGGCAAGGTTGGGAAAGGGGCCGGCATGCCATGCTTCCTTTGTCCTCACCCGACATGCAAGCAATCTATGATCACTCAGGGAGTTTGTGCTTGTCCTGAGTGTAGTGGTATCCTGATTCTTGATCCAGTTAGTGCACCCAAATGGCGGCTTTACTGCAACATGTGTAATTGCATTGTATTACTCCCATATGCTGCTCACAGGATCACCACTACAGATAAAAAATGCCTAACATGTGAATCTACTATCATTGAAGTTGATTTCAACAAGAAAACCACCCCTCTTCAAGATGGAGCTACATTGCATGAGGGCTGTATCTTGTGTGATGATCTGTTGCATTCACTGATTGAAATGAAGCATGGTAAGTCATTCTTTATGCGGAGAGGTAGAGGCAGAGGTAGAGGGAGAGGCCGGGGCAGAGGAAGCAGCCGTGGCAGAGGAAGACGAGGGAACTCAAGGTATGACGATCCTAAAATGAGCTTCCGGGATTTTTGAAGATTTTGGACTTCCAACATTGGTCACTACTCACTATGTAAGTATGTCCAAAAATGCTAATTTGGTACTTATTCTGCAATATTACTGCTTTTTTTTTCTCTTTTTTGCAATCGCATCTTTTATCTGCCATAGATTTGTAGTGTAGATTTTTAGATCATTCTATAATTGGTGCCAAGTTATTTCTTTAAACCAAATGGAAAGAAACGATGTTGGACTGAAATTGTCCAGAAATGAGATGCACCTGAAGCATCTGTTGTTTGACTTAGACAATGAGATGTACAGAAAGATGTTTACCACATTTAAAACCAACTCACATATCCATACAGAAATTTATCGTGCAAAGTGTTTTTTATATATAAAAAATGTATACGCTACTACTATTTTCATTGATGTTAAAGTATATCTGAGTTTGGATTATGTAAGAACAAGGCAAGCGATGATGAAGCACTATGGAGCATGTGTTTCTTATTATATACACAATATTTGATATATCCTTTGGATCTTTTATTGTCACTTGAGCCTATTACCTCTGGTACTGAACTATTGATTTCCTTTTATGTCTAGGTAGAACTTTTATATTTTGAAATGAGCATTTCTCCATAGCAGCCTTCAATGGTTATTTGCAGGTCTGCTTTCTTCTTCTTCTTTTTTAACTGCCGGCAGGACTCTGCCCAGCTTTTTTTATCCTTACATTCTAAGCCATGCTTACGCAGGAAAGCTACCATCATGCGTTCAGTAAACCCCAGAATGGAGTAAATATATTATTAGAAACGTGACTTAAGAGTCAGCTACTGCCCCATGTCTTTGTGTATTGACACATTCCATGCGTCAGGACTCAGGACACTGAATCTGTAGTTTAAAATGTTGGATAGCACAAGGATCAACTCAATTGTATACTCAGGAGTAGTGTTTCTGTAATACTTGGCTGTTCGCTTGAACTTATCAGCCGGCTTTTTAGCTAGAATCTACAATATTTTTCTCTCACAGCAAAACAGCTTCAGCCGGCTTTAATACCAGCCGAACAGGCCTATGTGCCAATGATTTGGCAGAAGATCCCAGGATGGTGAGAATTGAGAACTTCTAGCTCAATATGACTAAGACACTTACCAGTCCGTAGATCGAAATGCTGCTCAACAAACTCTTCTCTTTGCAACATTGGTGGTACCTGATAGCTCCTTCTGAGCTGTTATGATTCTTCTAGATGGGTTCTCGATGATATAGAAGAAAACGATGGTTTTGTGGCTTCTGCCTATGTTATTGCTTTGCTCTTGCTGCAAACGTATGGTTCTGAGATGGCATTGTTGCCTTCGACACTGTTTGATGCGCTGCTTCTACAGAGAACTAGTAACTCATAAGTTGTTAAGCTCGACTCTGACTTGAATTGCTTCAAGTTGTCTCAAGCCCCTGCGGCCACCAACTTAAGATGGCCGCTTAAAAGTTCCCTTCAAGTCCAAGGAAACTGGGCAGATCAGCGGAGTGCAACCAAAACTGACCGTGTGAACGCTGACGAATGAGTGTCGTGTTCAAAGAACCAATCCCTCTGGTAGCCCGTTGCTTTGTGGAGGGAACAAAGCATTTGATTGGAACCTGAAAAACAGACAGGAAACAGGGAAAGGGTGTCCCGTGACTCGTGCGTGTGAAATGTTTGAGTGTAAGCACAATGACGCAAGTCTTTGGTCATACTACCTCTGTCTTATTCTGAATTTGGTTAAATTTGACTATGAAAAATGGTATTAACGTTTAAGACTCTAAATATATTATGAAATTATTTAACTATTATAAAATTAGGTCCATTTTTAGACTGGAGAGTATTAATGCTGTGTGGATCAGACTGGTAAAATGGGTTTGATTAAGGTCCTGTTTGGACAACTAGCTGACTAATTTTTAGTCCATAAGGATCCAAACAAGTAGACTAATTGTTAGCTCACTAATCATGGACTAGTTAATCCATAGATATGAGCTAATAGAACAGTCGTTAGTCCTAGTTCATCAACATGCCTTAAAATTGTTTAGGGATTATTCCCACTGAGCTTTCTATGGTAGCGATGCGTTATTAGAAGAAATTGTTTGAGAGACTGATTTATTACCAAGATAAATTGCTAGGAACTGAGTGATCAATCGTTTGATTTGGTTGTTGCAGCAACATTTCAATTGCCGCCATCAGACTTTATAAAATAAAAATGGTAACAATCAGAAAAGGGTGTACTGCGCCCCTCTTGAGTGACTAAAGCTAGACGCTAAAACTAATCTAGACTTTAGTTTATCTAGGAGGAATTCAAGTAGTATCAGAATGTAGGCCTGTGTTGCAAAAGTGCTTCTTGCGGCAAAATAAAGGAGCAAATATTCTTTGCTTTTGCAATTGGTGGTGGCAAATATGCTCGCAACCTTTATGCTTTATTATTGTTCTTCTTAAAGTGATCCCTGTAAAAGGATACGCGATGATGGATTAGACACAACACACACATGAGTTATCAGTTATGCCATTCTCTTCTGCCCTTCGGTGGCAACTGGCAAGGACGTGGTAAGAGGACTCCAAGACATTGCAGCCTCGGAGGGTTCGGTCCGGAGCATTTGTTCGCAGCGGCGGATCCAGGAAAAATTTTAGGGGGGGCTGATAGTTCACATACCTCCGACTGCTGCTTGATCTTAAGTCATAGCTCCACCTACACTATAGAACTTTGCCTAAAAATTTATGGGGGCTCCCCTGCTCCGGTATCGGTAGGGGGGTTTGAATCCGCCCCTGCTTGTTCGGATGGCTAGGATCAAGGTCTCATGCTCAGGCTATAGCCAGGGCATTCTAGACACCCTCCGATAGTGATGCGTTTTGCTATCACAAACCTCCCTTTCAGCTTCACCAGCCATCATGGTCCACAGGGAGCAGATTGCGCAACTAAAAGTGGGGGACCGGCCTGAACGCCCAAGTAGTGCGTGATCGGCGCGGATCCTCCCGGACGCTGACCCGACTGTCCAGAAGCGATACGCTGTGCCCATTTTCTAGATGCTCCTCCATCTCCAAACGAGCAAGATGAGCTCAGCACTAAAAGGAAATACATTACATACACAAAATGCACAATATATAGTACTACAGCTCAAACTCCAGCGCGATGTATGCAGAGTTACGGAGACCGTCCAAACCGGACATACAAGCCAGCAGGCAAAAAACCCCTGCAAACTCTAAACCTACAATCGTCTGCCCGTAGTCACACACGCCACTAGCGATAACGAGCCGATAACTACATGCAAGCCACAGGGCCGGGGCACCAGAAAGCAAAACTTTCTCTCATGCATTGCACACTCACAGTCACACGGAATGCGGGAGGTGGCCGTTGGATGCGCTGTTGAAGGTCTTGCTCTCGGCCTTGCGCCGCCTGAGGACGACGCCCCACGTGACAGCCTCCAGCGTGGCGGCGGCGATGAGCAGCACGCAGACGGCGGCGATGTAGGCGGTCCGCCACCGCTGCTCCACGCCCAGGATGTTCATGCCCTTGAAGATGTTGACGACGCCCAGCACGATGACGGTGTACCCCACCGAGTGGTGGTACATGTTCCAGTACACGCGGTACTTGTGCTCCTTCTTCGGCCGCAGGAACAGCGCCAGAACCTGTATTATGCATGTCCACCAAGCCCTCGTCACTCATCAGAATCAGAGAGATCGCCAGCTTTTTTCTGTCTAAAATGGAGAAATTTATTTACTTGAAGGGTGCCGAGAGCGAAGACTGCGATGCCGATGTTGCGGTGATCGGTGTAGGTGACGCCCCTGGACTCCTTGCCGAGTTGGATGCCGGTGGCCCAGCCGGAGACGCCGACGGCGTAGCCGATCAGCTGGCAGGTGACGTGGAGGTAGAACCACGCGGGGTCTGCCGCCTGGAACGTCTTGAGGTACCTGGCGAAGATGGCGCCCATGGGCAGCAGCACGCCCCAGCTCACGGCGTTCAGGACTCCATGGATCTTTATAGTATTCCGCCCCGGCGCCGGCGCCGCGCCAGAAAACAAGAGCGAATGTTATTACAGTTACAGCAGAGGAAAAGCAAACGAGTGGTTTGGTTGGCCGCCGCCCACCGGTGAGACTGAGAGCGAGACCGAGCAGAGCACTCACATTGCGCTTCCTGGTGGCGCTGTCGGCTCCGGCGGCGGCGGTGGTCGCCCTGAGCAGGTCCAGCTTGGCCTTGGCGGCGAGGTTGTCTGCCCCCATGGCGTGCGGCGCGGGGACGCCGCCGCTGGAGACGGCGGCGCCGACCTGCCACACCTGGTTGAGCACCACGCCCCCGCCGTAGCCGGCGGCGCCGAGTCCGAGCCTCCCGAAGACCCTGACGCGGCCGTCGGCGCCGAGCTCGGCGGCGAGGTCCGACGCCGGGAACGCGATGGGGCCGGGCTCACCGAGCGCGTACCCGGACACGTTGTACGTCCGGACGGCCCACGTGCCGGAGAAAGGCCCCGCGACGAGCGCCTGCGCGCCCGCCATGCCGTCGCCCGACGGGTTGAGCGCCCACGCCACCCACCCGCCCGGCGCGGCGGGCGCGGCGACGAACGCGACGGAGAGGTCACCCGTCGCGCGGTCGTACGTCCAGTGCACGGACGCGCCGAGGCGGGGCAGGTCGTTGCACGCCGCGTAGGCGCGGTTCGCCGAGAACGACTCCCCCGCGCACCGCCCGCCGCCCCCCGCCGCGTGTGCCGGCGGCGGGGTCAGTAGCGTGAGGATACATGCTGCGAGGACGGCGACGGCGACGGCCATGGCCTGGGCTGGTTGGAACGGCTGCGAACTTGCGTTGGTGGGTGCAGTGAGAGTGAGTGAGTGCTCGATAGTTGGTGGGCGTGGGGCGCGGTCGCGCGGACGTGGGCGTTTTGAGGTGAAGTGGGCGCGCGGCAACCGTCAGTTTAATAAGGAAGGGACGGAACAGGGTTGGGATCGGCGGGGCGCGGTTGGCCGCGACGGGGACGGGCAAGCGGCGGTGGGACAGGTTGATCGGCGCTGGAAGGCAGCCAGACACGGGCGTGGCCCC